ATTTCCTGGCATTTAGACAGCATTATTGTAATGATTCATAATAATGATGTACACCCCTATGCCACTTCAACTTTTTCAAATCAATTTTTTTTATACTGCATCTTTCTCTGAACTGTGCCCCACCTCAGATCATTACATGAAAGACTGTAATAGCACTCATACTCTTTTACTGCGCTGATCTCTTCCTATAGTCTTACGTGATCTTATGTGAAAGGTTGTTTCCTCAATATGGCTCCCACACCCTAATTATAAATTTAAATATTTTTTTCTGTTACCTTCTTTCATCACATCTCATGCTATTTCTTTTAAAACTACATCTTGCTTTATTATTATTATTATTTGTTTAACTTCTGCCTCACTAAGACCACCCTCACAGGAAGTCTGCCTCTTTTAACATACCACTCTATTCCCAGCGTCTAATAGTTTTTTGATAAATATTTATAAAATTGAAGTATAACTCATTGGCACTGCTGGAGTACAGCATAGAATTAGAGGTGAAAGGATGCTTAAAAGTATGAAAAAAAAGCATCTTCAGGATAACTTACAATTTGTATTGTGTTGTGACATGAGTTATAAGTATATACATAAAAATATGGTCCTTTTTTAAGTTGGTGCAATTTTAAGGTATGAGTCATAGCTCCCCTACTTCCTTCCTCATGATCAAAGATTAACATGCATAGCCCCTTGCTCATGTGAATTCCGGAGCTGCTACTGGAATGGTAAACTTGCTTGAGCCTCTCCAGGACCATTTGTCAGCGGCTCAGCTAAACTACAGAGAGCTGAGCTGCTAAGTGTCAGAGTCCCTGATTAAACACAAGCCAAAAGGAAAGTAACAATAAAGCCTTCAATCACTTCCTGCCAGAGTATAAGCAAGAGGCTAAAGCAAGAACGTGACGACTACCCCTTGTTCCATTTTCCCCAAGGAGCAGTGAGTGCACTGTGAGACTCAGGTGGATCAGCACAGATGTGGGGCTGTCTCACTGCCAAGGGAGCTACGAACAAATGGCTCTCCAAGTAGGAATCAAGGATATCCTCTCGCTTCCCCTAGAAAGACGCATTGACCCCGGTGCCTGAGGATGCCTTACATAATGAGGTCTCTGAATGAAGGCAGGAGAATGTACCTTCATGAAGAGCATGACCAGCCAGAGGACTGAGTCCTTGCCTGTGACTCCCTCCAGGGCCTGCAGTGCACTGGCTGTGTAAGTGGTCCGGTGTGGGGAGGGCAGCTTCCCCCTTGAGGCTGCCATGATTGGGCCTAACACAACACATACTCTTTGGCCTGGAGCCGGACTCCTCCATGTGGCAGATGCTAGAGCAGATCTTCACCGGTTACCTATGTTGTCTATGATTGTGTAATGAATTGGAGGCAAAGTCTCAGATGTCTAATAGGCATTTCACAGTTATCCTATCACTATTTGACATATTAAATTATATTATTTATCATCCTCCTTCTCTATACAAAATCCATACACCTTGGCAGAAAAGATGGTATCTTGGTTACTATTCTACTGCCAATTTCCAGAGCAGACAGGTACTTGTTAAGTTCACAAGAACTACCTGGTAGTTGAATGAATAAAATCAAAGTTGGACTCCATATCTCTAGATCTCAGGCCTGATCTCCTCTTAATGAACAATGAACACACATCATGTTGGATATTTTTAGGAGCGAGGGTGTATTTAAACCTATGGTTCATATAAGAGGAGTATAGAAGTATTCTTGGAACATTTACTCCATTCAGCAACAGAATACTTTGATCTCTTGAGTTCTCTTTTTGTTAAATCTTTTTCAGAAAGAAAAACTAATTAGAATTTCAATACCATACAACTTGAAGTGTATCTAGGAGTGAATATTTATTTAAAAATCCGAGAAGTTTATAAATTCTTTGAACATCTGCATATTTGAGGAAAGCAGATGTCCTCTCCACTCTCCTGGGAGCCATGGCAGTACAATCAGTAAAATGAATTTAAGGGAGCTGTGTGGAGGCAGATGGCCTTTTTGAAAGACATCATGGAAGGGGAGGCAAACTTGAATCTTGGACTCACCATAACCCTGGAATTTGGAAAGCTAATCTATCTAATCCTCAGTTTTAATAAGACTTGATTCATGCTAAGGGTTGAGGCCATTCCTCTGGATTGTCTTCTAAAACAAAATCTGCTATCATTGGAAGATAAGTCCACTGTTGTTTTCTTTAAAGCAATTGTGTATATTGGCATAGTGTAAATATGCCAATATTGATTATAGAGAATAGATGTTCAATTTTTCCCTAACAACATGCTCTAAACTGAATACCAGTTTCTAAGAGATACTATAAGGCCCTACAAATAAATAGCTTTGTCTCATTTAGTTCATTTATCCACTATTTCCTGTGAGACTGTGAAAAGCCGTGGAAGAAAGTTGGCATGTAACAAATCCTGAATAGATGAAAATGTCTATATAGGTTTTGCAAATTTCCTTTGAAGTTCTATGATAAGAATAAATATAAATATTTATAAAAGCTAAAACAGTGGTTACAGAGGAAGGATGCTTATTTTTATTTTTTGTATATGAATAGCTCACCAGAGGACAAAATGTGAATGATAAGTCAAAGATTTTTCATGCCATCCTTTTAAGATACCAAGATTTTGGTTAAGGCAGAGTTAAAATAGAATAAATAAATTTAGTTTCAACTAAAAATTTCCCCTAGTTTTTACTTGCAGTCTTCCTGTTACAAGATAGCTATAAAAAATAACATTTTTGTAGTTTTGTTTCTCTAACTCTTTTAAATTTCAACTGCATTTTCCCCAGACCCTGCAATCCAAAAATATTCACTGTAAAATTTAAAATTTTTAAAATAAATTACATAAATGTTAACTAATTGTGTATTTATGAATATATAGTCCTTCTTCATATTTTTTCTTCTTTTTGATAGTTATTCTCATCTAGAAAGAGTAAAGCATGGTAGATACCAAATATGTTCATAGAGTCTTCCCATCTCATTGATGTGGAGTCTATTTCATCACCTCTTTAATCTGGGCAGGACTTGGGATTTGCTTTGGCCATAGTGTGGTAGGAGGGGAATGTATGAATTCAGAGTCTAAGTCTCAAGAGGCTTTGCACACTTAAGCTCTCTCTCTTGGAACTCTGACCACTGACATGGTAATAAACACTAGATTAACCTGATGGAGGATGAAAGACAATTGGCCTCTCCATACAACTCTTCATACACGGCCATCATTAAACATCAAGCCCCAGCCTTATATCCAGCTGACTGAAGCTGCATAAAAGACCTCACTGACACCAGCCTATAACATCGCATACCAGAAGAATCATCTAGCTGAGCCCAGCCCAACATGTTCATTACATTTATAAATGGTGGTGGCAGACAGGATTTTTTACCTGACTGACATGCACACATTCCGTTATCACTGGGATTGTGAACCTGATGGGCTTTCCTTCCATGATTAGGTTATATTCTATGGCAAAGTGGACCTTAAAATAGGGAGATTATCTACCTAATGAGCTTGATCTAGTAATATAAGCCCATCAGAAGTTGTTTTCTGGCTATTATCAGGAGAAAATGCTAGAAAGATTTAAAACATGAATAGATTTCAACTCAGGAGAGATTCTTCATAGCAAGACCCGAGAGCAATTTCTAGCTGCTGAAAGCAGTAATCCACCAATATCTAGCAAGACAATGGAGACCTTGGTTCTGCAACCACACGAAATGAATTCTGCCAATAACCTGAGGGATCTTGGAAGTGGATCTTTGTTAAGTCAAGCCTACAGTTGAGGACTCAGCCTTATGAAACCCTGAGTAGAGAGAGAACACAGTGGACTCCTCGAACATAGAAATTATAACAATAACATTGTGTTGTTTTAAGTTGCTAAATTGCTGGTAATTTGTCATGAAACAATTGAAAACTATTTTAACTGTTGTTTTAAACTGCTGAATTGTAAAGCAAAATATAACTGATATAGAGACTAGAAATCTTAAGATTATTGTAGGGTCAGCTGTTGAATTAGTGAGATCAGAGCTACATCTGTGATGTTGGACTACATCCTCCTACAAATAATGAATTTTCAAATGTTCAAGGGGAGGTATTAACTATCTTCTCTTACTTTTCCTTTAAAAAAAAAGGAAATATTCTCTTCTTGGTTATTTTTTTTTCCTCAATCATAACAAAGAGACAAATAATTAGCATAGTTAATAGAAACAGAAAAGGCAAATAGCCTATTTTTTATGTTTTTCTTTTTAATCTTGAATATTTCCCTGGAGGTAACCATAGTAACAGTCATTCTAGCACAATCTGTAGGTCACTTAAAAAGACTCAATTCTCTCATTTGCATATCTGGCTTGTGCCCCCATTAGGCTCCTTTTTTTCCTCATTTGCCTTTCAAGTATCAGTTTAAGACAGTGAGTTAGAAATAGAAAGCGATACATTAAAAATGTTGGTAAGTTAATAGCAATACTATTTCAGAAAAGAACAAAAATATTCTATAAAATAGAATCTTTTGTCTTTTCATCAAAAGACAACAGCTAATCATCTGCCAACTATAATGGAAAAGAAAGGAAAATCAATGACTATAGCTCATCCTATTCTCATAGATTATTCTAGAAAACTGAGCACAGTGAGACTCAACTGCAAACATGTTTTAAAAGGGATATTAAGGCTAATATGTGAGAGAGTCCCTCATAGCAAGGCTTTCTCCTGACCAGCTTTGCCTATTAGCCTCATAGACACAAACCTATGACAACCATGAATAAAGGTAGGAAACATTTTAAAAAAATATTATTCACCATATATTTAGAAACAAGTTCTAAAGTAAATTAACATAGGTAAATTAGGATTATAGATATCTGGGGGAAAATATCAAATATTACTTATAATTCTTGTTGAGCTAACAATGCCTTTAAAATATACTTTTGTATTATTTGAGTTTGAAAAATTCCTCTTGTAATGTCTGTTACTCTACCATGGAAATATGCCTATTTTATTATATTTATTATTCAACCCTGGACATTTGCCTTTATCCTCAACTTTCAAGCTCAAGTAAGATTTCTAAGTTATGGACTTAAGTACTTTATAAAAGAACTTCCTTTGTTAGTCTAATTATAACTATGAATATTCTGCTAAATATTCAGAATAATAAATCCACAGTTTGAATAAACCAAATGCATAATATTATTATAGAAAATCTATTATTATAAACAAGTTTCAACTCTAATTTCAATTAACAATGGACATAGCCATCAATGGCCCAACACAAAAATTAAACAAGTTTCTTTCTTAGAGTTGTTTAAGTTTATGCCTAAAGAAGTTCTAACATCATATTTGAAGATGAATATAATCTACTAGCTGTTTTTATTCAAAACTGAGTACAGAATATGTGTTAAAACGTAATGACGAAGAGTAAAAAGTGAGAGAAACCAAGATGGCGGCATAGGTAAACACGGGAGTTTGCTGCCTCAAACAACCACTTCAAAAATACAACTAAAAGACGGAACGGACATCATCCAGAACCACAGGAAAGCTGGCTGAGTGGAAGTTCTACAACTAGGAGGAAAGAGAAAAGCATACCGAGGCTCAGAGGAGGCGCAGTGCTGAAGTAAAATACTAAGGTTCGGAGTGCATGCGGAGCGGGCTGGAGGCTGAGGGCGCGGTTGTCGTTTTCAATCGGGAGGGAGTCTCAGGCTCTGAGCTCCAGTTCCGGGCAAGTCTCTAAGGACCCACACTCATACGGGAGAAGCGGGACTGTCTGGCATCGCTCAGAACCCTAGGGCAGCTTTCTCTCCGTGGGGCTTGCAGTGACTACTGGGACACTGAGAAGCAGAGCCTCTGAGGGCAAGACTGAGAGCAGCCATAATTGCTAACCCCCCCCTGTGATCCCGTGGGACCTGCCCCGCCCAAGCCCTGCAGGGAGGCTTTTGCTGGATAGCCTCAGGCAAAGGCTAGATTAGCACCTCCCTAGAGATCCAGGAGCCAGGAAGCCCAGAGGTCAGAGTGGGACCATCCAACTTGCAGCTCCGTGGAACCATAAAAGACACACTCAGGGGGCAGACTCAGTGAGCACCAAAGCCCCATCGAAGCAAGTCTAGCCCCAGAGGGGTGTCTCCAGCACAGAAGTTCTCCCACCGCAGACACAGCTGATTCTCACAGCCAATTGGCCTGGAGGTCAATTCCTCACAGTGATAACTACAACAATCAAGGCTTAACCACAACAAGACTGTGCACAAAGCCCACAAGGGGGTGCACCAAGAGTGTCTACCTCAGGTAATTGGGACACTTAGCACAGAAAGGCACTCTATCGACACAGCGAAGCATAAAAAAATGCCAAGACAAAGAAACAGGACACAAACGACAGAATTGGAGGAAAGCAAACTGCTGGATA